GTATACTTTGCTGCTGTTGGGTGGAGTGTTCTGTATATGTCTATAAGGTCGAGTTGGCTGATTGTGGCATTTAGATCTTCTGTATCTTTATTGAGTTTCTTTCTAGATGTTCTGTCCTTCACCAAAAGTGCTGCGTTGAAGTCTCCTACTTTTATTGTAGAACTGTGTATATCTCCTTTCAGTGCTGTTAGAGTTTATGTATTTTGGAGACCTGTCATGACGTGCAGAGATATTTATTATGATTATGTCCTCCTGGTGTATTGACCATTTAATCACTATATAGTGTCCTTCCTTATCCTTTATGGTGGATTTTGCTTTAAAGCTTATTTTGTCAGAGATTAATATTGCCACTTCTGCTCTTTTTTGGTTGTTTGCTTGATATATTTTTTTCCATCCTTTGAGTTTTAGTTTATGTGTTTGTGTCTAAAGTGTGTCTCTTGTAGACAGCATATAGATGGATCATGTTTTTTCATCCATTCTGCCATTGTCAATCTCTTTACTGCTGTGTTTAGGCCATTTACATTCACTGTAATTATTGATAGGTATGAGTTTATTGCTGTGATTTTGATGTATTTTTGTGTGTTTGCGGTGTTGACAATTTCTTTGTTCCACTTAACGTTCTGTGCTGAATTCTTTTTTTATGTATTTTCTTTTCATCTCTTTCATTATTGTTTATTTTGTGTTTGCTGAGTCTTCATGTTTTTCTTCTTTTTTATTTTGATAAGTAGGTTTATTAGCTTTCTTTGTGGTTACCTTGAATTTACCTTTATTTTTCTAAGTTTAAACCAGTCTTTTACTTCTTGATATTGCCTTGACTTCCTTTCCATATAGAAGTTCTATGACTATACCATTTATTCCCTCTTTTTTGGTTTGACGTTGTCTCTTACATATTGACATCTCTTGTTCCCTATTTTCAGTCTTTTAGCTTTGATTTGTTTTTGAGAATTCCCTATCTGGGTTGATATCTGGTTGATCTGTCCTGTGTCCTAGTCTTAGATTGATGTCTGATGTTGTTGGATCTCTAACCAGAGGACTCCCTTTAATATTTCTTATAATTTTGGTCTGGTTTTTACAAATTTCCTCAACTTCTGTTTATCTGGAAATGATCTAATTTTGCCATCATATTTGAGAAACAATTTTGCTGGATACATAATTCTTGGCTGGCAATTTTTTTTCCTTCAAGGCTTTATATATGTCATACCATTGCCTTCTTGCCTGCATGGTTTCTGCTGAGTAATCTTATTGGTTCTCCTTTGTAGGTAACTTTTTGTTTATCCCTAGCCTCTCTCAGGATTCTTTCTTTGTCTCTTGTTTTGGCAAATTTGATTATGCTATGTCTTGGTGACTTTCTTTTGGGGTCTATCCTGTATGAGGTTTGCTGAGCTTCTTGGATAGGTATTTTCTTGTCTTTCAGCATATTAGGGAAGTTTTCTGCTATCATATCTTCAACAATTCTCCTTGTGTTCTCCATTATCCACCTCTGTTCTGGTACTCTGATCAGCTGTAGGTTTTTCCTCTTGATAGTATCTCACATAATTCTTAGGCTTTCTTCTTTTTTTTTTTATTATTTTTTCTGATTTTTCCTCAAACAACTCGTTGTCAAGGGATTTATCTTCAGTCTCACTAATTCTGACTTCCATTGTCTCAATTCTGCTCCTATGACCTTCTATTGAGTTGTCTGATTCTGAAATTTTATTGTTAATGTTTGGATTTCTAATTGTTGTTTCTGTATGGTTTCTAGCAGTCTGCTTATTCTGTCATTTTGTTCAATTTATTGAGGCTTACTTTAAGGCTAAAAAATATGGTCTATTCTAGAGAATGTACCATGTGTGTTGGAGAAGAATGTGTACTGTGCTGCTGTTGGGTGGAGTGTTCTGTATATGTCATTGAGGTCAAGTTGGTTGACTGTGTTATTTAGATCTTCTGTATCTTTGTTGAGTTTCTTTCTAGTTGTTCTGTCCTTCACTGAAAGCGGTATGTTAAAGTTTCCTGCTATTATTGTGGAGTTGTCTATTTCTCTTTTCAATTCTGTTAGAGTTGGTTTTATGTATTTTGGAGCTCTGTCATTGAGTGTGTTGATATTTATTATGGCTATATCCTCTTGGTGTATTGACCATTTAATCATCATATAATGCCCTTCCTTGTGTCTTACGATGGATTTTGACTTAAAGTCTATTTTCTCAGAGATTAATATCACCACTCCTGCTCTTTCTTGGTTACTATTTGTTTGATTTTTTTTTCCATCCTCTGATTTTTAACCTATTTATGCTTTTGTGTCTAAGGTGTGTCTCTTGCAGGCAACATATTGATGGGTGTCTTAGGCTGGGTTCTCTAGAGATTTATATCAAGAAAATGGCTCACATGATTTTCAGAGGCTGTAAGTCCCAAGTCTGTGAGGCAGGAAAGAAAACTCTCCTGATTCACATAGCTGCAGGGGCTGGCAAACCCAAGACTGGCATGCTGGAGAGTAGTGCTGCCGCAGGCTGTGAAGATCGACGCTTGGCAGGCGAGACCACCAACAAGCTGCTAGCCCAAGTCCCAAGAACCGGAGGCCAGATGAACGGGAGCCAGCTGCAGGATCCAGAACAAGCAAAAGCCCTAGCAAGGCGAGCAGGAAGGAAGTAGGCAGAGGAGGGCAGGGAGATGAAGGCTGAGGTGGTGGTGAGCCGCCACTGGCCCTGTCCCTGCCAGTACCACTCAACAGATTCCATTATGGGGGTTATCACATATCAAATTTCAACAGGGAAGTGATCACAACATTATACAACTGCCAAAACCCTGAGAATCATGGCCTAGCCAAGTTGACACACAATCTTAACCATCACAATGGATCATATTTTTTTTTATCCATTGTGACACTCTCTGTCTCTTGACTGGTGCAATTAAGCCATTTACATTGAGTGTGATTATCAGTAGGTATGAATTTACTGCTGTCATTTGGTTATGCTTTTTTTTTGTGGTGTTGACGATTTCTTTGTTCTGCTTAATTTTCTGTGCTGAGTTCTTTTTGTTTGTGGATTTTCTTTTCATTTCCTTCATTGTTGATTTTGTGTTTACCGAGAGCTTATGAGTTTCTTCTTTTTTATTTTGGTGAGTAGGTTTATTAATTTTCTTCGTGGTTCTCTCAACTATACCTTTATTTTCCTAAGTTTAAAACAGTCTGTTATTTCTTGATATCACCTTGACTTCCTCTCTCTATGGAAGTTCTACAACTGCACCATTTATTCCCCTTTTTTTTTTTTGTTGTTTAGAAGTTGTCATTGTTTACAAACTGACATCTCTGGTTCCCTGTTTTCAGTTTTGTAGATTTATTTAACTTTTGGGATTTCTTTATCTGGGTTGGTATCTGAGTGATGCTGTTGTGTGTCTTAATCTCAGGTTGTTGTCTGATGTTGTTGGTACTCTGTCTGAAGGACTCTCTTTAATATTTCCTATACGTTTGGTCTGGTTTTTACAAATTCCCTTAATTTCTGTTTATCTGGAATATACTAGCTTTGCCACTGTATTTGAGAGACAATTGTGCTGGATATATGATTGTTGGTTGGCAATTCTTTTATTTCAAGGTTTTATATATATGTCATCCCATTGCCTTCTCGCCTGCATGGTTTCTGCTGAAAAATCAGAGCTTAATCTTATTTGTGCCCCTTTGTAGGTGATATTTTGTTTTTCCCAAGCTGCTCTCAGAATTCTTCCTTTGCATTTGTTTTGAAAAGTTTGATTATAATATGTCTTTATGACTTTCTTCTGGGGTCTATCCTGTATGAGGTTTGTTGAGCTTCTTGGATGGTAACCTTCTCATTTTTCATGACATCAGGGAAGTTTTCTGCTACTAAATCTTCAGAAATTCTCTCTGTGCTTTTTTTCTGTGTCTTCTCCTGTTCTGGAACTACAATCATGCATAAATTATTCCTCTTGAGAGTTACACATATTTTTTGTAGTGACAAGTTGGAAGCGAACAGGCCACCCCAGCACCACCCTTCTGTTGAGCTGCCACAGCTTGCCTTAGCTTTTTCAGGTATGAGTGAGTCACTGATTCTCTGTTTTCCCAACTTTCAGAGGACACATTTCAAAGCCCTACAGATGATACCCTGGAAGCTCCCCTCACAAGGCTTTAGGTGAAAGTGGTAAAATTAGTGTGTGTTTGTGTATGTGTGTGTGTGTGTGGGGGGGGGGGTGATGGGAGCTCATAACATGACAGATTTAAAGAAATTTCTTATCCAGTCTTCTCCACTCTCCATACTTTTTATATCATTGATCTGGCCAATGGATGTAAGAGTCATAGAACAAGTTCTTTGAAATATCCTTAGTAAATTATGCATACGGGATAACTCTCATTTTGGGAACAGATAATTGTTTTATTAGCACCTCAGGAACTGAGCCAGGATGACTCATTTTAACATCCTACTATGTTTGTATATCAACTCTATAGGTACATACATACCTTATAGCATCAAATAATGAGAGCCTGCTAAAATAACAGGTTATAAGATTTAATGTTAGCGTAAAAAAACCTTGTCATAAAACATATAACAGGGTAATCAGTTTTGTTGTAGAAAAAAATCTTTTGTTGTAGCTCAGAATCTTTGTTGTACCTTCCTTAATGGTAATCCTCAGCTCTATGAGGGCAGGGAATTTGGTTTCCAATTTAGATTCTACAAAGAACATTTACTAAGCAACTATTTTATGTTAAGCAAAATACCAAGCATTTTCATATAATTTATGTTGTTTATATTAAATTGGGAGCCCTGGTGGCACAATGGTTAAGAGCTCAGCTGCTAACCAAAAGGTCAGCAGTTCAAATCCACCAGCCCCTCCTTGGAAACCCTATGGGGCAGTTCTACTCTGTCCTATAGGGTCACTATGAGTTAGAATCGACTCGATGGCAACGAGTTATATTAAATTGAGATAAAGAAAAAAATGTTTAAATTTATTACTTATACACACACACACACACATATAATTAAAGACACTATTATTTAGAAAAAGAAAGAAAAACTTACCTCACTCTTCTAGTTCTCTCTCTGGGTCTTCTAATTAAATCTTCCAAATTTTTATTTCTCTCTTCTAAACTGAAAGAAAAATGAACTGCATTTTATGATTAAAACTGATTTCTTTAGATATATACACTGTTAGATTCATTGGAGAATTTGAATAAATAAATTCAAATGGTAGTCTAGCTCTCTATACATCATCCATCCTTCTCACCATATAAGAACTTGGAATTCTATTCAAGTAACTCAAATTATTTGGTCAGTTTTTCCCTTTATAGGTTTCAGTGGTAAAGAAGGAAAGTAGATAGTAATAACATATAAAGTGACATTTAGATGTTCTTCTATTTATTTACATTGTGGTTAGACAATCGATCCCTCTATGTGGGTAAACTACAACGTGATCTTGGGGTTAGCATATTAAAAATAAAATCTCTGATTCAACTATATGCTGTCTTCAAAAAACCACTTTAGATCCAAAGACACAAATAGGATGAAAGTGAAAAGATGGAAAAAAATATTCCATGTAAATAGTAACTCATAACTTATTTTTGAGGCAGCCTTACCCTGATACCAAAGCCAGATAAAGACACCACAACTGACACCAAAAGAGAACTGGGGTGACTATATTAGTATCAAGCAAAATAGACTTTAAGTAAAAACTGTTACATGAGACAAAGATGGACATTATATAATTATAAAAGAGCCAATTCAACAAGAAGATATAACAAATATAAATATATATGCACCTAACAACAGGGCCCCAAAATATATATACAAACATGGACAGAATTCAAGGGAGAAATAGACAGTTGTAGTGCTTGTAGACTTCACTACACCACTTACAATAATGGCTAGAACATCTAGAGAGAGATCAATAAGGAAACAGAGGAATGAACAACACTATACTCCAACTAGATCACACAGACATATATAAACACTCCACCCAACAACAGCAAAATATACCTTCTTCTCCAGTGCACATCAATAATTCTCCAGAACAGACCGATGTTAGGTCACAAAGCAAGTCTCAAGGAGTTTAAAAAGACTGAAATCATATGAAGTATCTATTCTGACCACAGTGGAATGAAACTAGGCATCAATAACAGAAGGAAAACTTGAAAATTCACAAATATGTGGAAATTAAAAATGCACTCATTAAATAACCAATGGGTCAAAGAAGAAATCAAAAGGGAAATTAGAAAATATTTAGAAATGAGTACCAATGAAAACACAACAAACCAAAATTTAAAGGACGCAGCAAAGTCAGTGCTCAGAGGAAAATTTATAACTGTGAATACCTATATTAAAAAAGAAAGGTCTTGGAGTTCCGGCAAAATGGTGCTCTAGGGAGAAGCACCATGCTGTCCCACCACAGCAAACATCTGAAAAACTAAGCTGAATGGAGAATACAACAATCCCGAAACCCTAAAACATCAAATGAAGGGATAAAGAACTGAGCCAAACACCAAATGGAGTGAGAAAACTGACAGAGAACGGAGAGCGAGGAGAGATCCATGCAGAGGTCCCCTACCAGCTAACGCAGCGCGGATCCGCCATCATGGACTCCTATCGGAGACCAGCAAATGGGGGTACGAGAAAGCAGCCTCACGGAGCTTCCAGAGGGAGACAAAACAACCGGTAATTGGCGATATATGCTTTCCCACCCCCCACCCTTCTTCACCCCGACTCGGCCTCCTCTGCTTCCCACGGCCACAGTCTCTTGACTGGGAAACAGCGGCTGCTTGGATTCCACACACCCGAACGGGTGGCTCTCTGAGGGCCATTTGTTGGCTGCTGGTGTTGCTTTTTCTCCGCTTCTTATTTCTTCCCTGCCTCTCCCCACCTCCCCCTCCTTTCGCTTGAGTACCTTGCTCCGTGCGCCATCTTTGCTTCTTGCTGAGGGGCTGCAGAGCTCCGGTAATTTGTGATATATGCTTTCCCACTCTCTACCCTTCTTCACCCACACTTGGCCCCCTCTGCTTCCCATGGACACAGTCTCTTGTCCAGAAACGCCAGCCCACACTAGCTGGCTCTATGAGTGCCATTTGTTGGCTGCTAGTGTTGCTTTTTTTTTTCTG